AATCTTCAATAATGAGACTTACCAGAACTCTAGTACCTTTTGATATCGAAGTCATTCAATTTTTGCTCTCTCGTTTAGGAGTGTCATCGTTCCTGTTCCTTGAGGAAGGTATGCACAACAGACACCCATATTCTCGTTTCAATGTTATGAGAATGAATAACCTGGTCGAAAGTAGAAATCTTAAAATTTGATGAAATTAATATTGATAGGTCGAAGAAAGCTAAAAGAAAGAATCGATCAAGTTAGGTTACAGTCTTGAATTGAGAAAATGGAAGTTCACCTTTTAGCAAGGAAGATTGTTAGAAAAGTGTCTGATAAGCATCGAAAATATGTTATCTTTTGTATAAAATTTAATAAATACATGCTTTTGTAACTCGAAAAACTGAGGAATGAATCGAAATGAAATTAAAATCGATTTGAGAAGTATTGAATCGATCTTATTTCTGGTATATAGATCTGTATCGTTTTGTATGCATATGCTTTCTCAATAGTTTAGATTAGATTTAAATCGTATATTCTAACTACCAATAATAGAAATAATTACTAAATCGATATTTTCTCATTTTTAGGACGCTGTTCTGTAATTTCTTTGCATCATATCTATTTTCTCTTTTCTTTTATGACTAAATTCTTCCCAATGGGCTGGTTGGAATTTTCCCATTGATTGCATATATTGTTTCTTTGTTTCTGTTTATTTTTTCTCTTTCTCACGTGAGATAACTTATTCTTAACATATTTACTGCATTACTCACACAAAGGTTAGTTGTTAGGTATCGGATGGAATGTGAATAGAAATAACTTTTTCCCCACTATAACTAATTAAAATATGTTGAAAAATTCTACGAATCAAACTTTCATTAATAATTATTATCTTCTGTTAGATAATTGTAGATAGCTAAAGCCAAATGTTTTCAACAGTTAAATATCTATCCGACACTTTAATTGATACATCTAATAAATACAACCCAATCAACATTTCATTGAAACGATTAGATAATAAAAATGGAAATTCAACAACTCCTACTACTATCAAAAATCGAATTCAAAGACTAAAAAACCTTAATAGCAAGACCAGGTGTTCATACTGTTAAGTATATGTTTGCAATGGGTTTTGAATATACAGGTAATGGAGATACAGCTAGATGCAAAGAAATTACAGAACAGCGCCCTAAAAATGAGAAAATCTCAATTTAGTAACTATTTATATTATTGGTAGTTAGAATATACGATTTAAATCTAATCCAAACTATTGAGAAAGCAGATGCATACAAAACGATACAGATCTATATACCAGAAATAAGATCGATTCAATACTTCTCAAATCGATTTTAATTTCATTTCGATTCATTCCTCAGTTTTTCGAGTTACGAAAGCATGTATTTAGTAAATTTTATACAAAAGATAGCATATTTTCGATGCTTATCAGATACTTTTCTAACAATCTTCCTTGCTAAAAGGTGAACTTCCATTTTTTCAATTCAAGACTGTAACCTAACTTGTTCGATTCTTTCTGTAATTTCTTTGCATCACATCT